TTTTTTCTTCTTCTTCTTCTTCTTCTTCTTCTTCTTCTTCTTCTTCTTCTTCTTCTTCTTCTTCTTCTTCTTCTTCTTCTTCTTCTTCTTCTTCTTCTTCTTCTTCTTCTTCTTCTTCTTCTTCTTCTTCTTCTTCTTCTTCTTCTTCTTCTTCTTCTTTCTTTTCTCTACTCCTGGAATGCTCGCGGCGTCAAGGCAGGACGACATCTTTAGGACGACACCTTCTATTCTCTACTCCTGGAATGCCTCACAGAGTCAGGGCAGAAAAGGATCTCCGGGAGGAGACCTTCTGTTCTCTACTCCCGGAATACCTCACAGCGTGAGAGCAGGAAAAGATCTCTAAAACGGGCCCTTCTGTTCGCTTCTTATAAAGTACTTTTCAGTATCTCTGATATTTCTGCGGTCCATATTCTGCGTGGTCGACCTCTGGGTCTGTTTCCACTGTATCTGTATAACATTGCTCTCTGTGTTGCCCTGTCTGCTGCCTGTCTGGTTACATGGCCAAACAATTTGATTTAATGCCTGCCTTTGAATTTCAGTATTGGTTCTGTGCCGACTCTCGTCCTGATATCATCGTTCCTATGTCGATCTTTCATCGTTACACATAGTATATAACGTAAACATTTCATTTCGGTCGTGACTATTTTCCTTCTGACTTCTGAAGACAGAGTCCATGTTTGACACTGAAAGCATGGCGTTGGTAAGAATATTGTGTTGAACAGTGTTCTTTGTGTGTTCATATTTACATGCTTGCATGTCAAAATTGTTGCCGTTTGGCCAAAAATTGTTTGACTTTCTTGCATCTTTGTTGGATTGGTTTTTTTTAAATCTACTTTGACCTTTATATCATAGTTGTCGCATTCTGAGTGGAATCTATTGTTATGTACTTGTAGTTGTAATTCACATAAATTAAATAATTCATGTGTGGCATAACGTTCGCCTGCGGATACTAAGGTCATGGGGTCAAGTCATAACCGAACCTTACTTTTATCAAAACTAACTTTGGCTCCCAGGTCGGCTTAGCCTTAAATGAGTACCAGGTAAAGTCCTGGGAAGTAAAGGCACCCGGTGTGATGTTGACACGAGAGCCGATTGGTCTATAAATATATGTCTAGCCCTAAATGCCCTATACGTCCTAAGGCGTGAGAAAATAGTCTTTTACTAATGGAAGCCAATGAGTTTGGCGCAAATAAAATCAGATCATAATTATATCCGAAGGGTTTTCGTCAGGGTTGTCGTGATCAATTGTTGTTTTTCATTAAATGAAAGAAAAAGCAAGCAAGCATCGATACGTCTCGACATGGGTGCCCTCTGAATCTCAAATCGGATCTGTTACATGTGTAACGCTTGTGTTGGTTGGTGGTTAGGTGACATTCCAACATTAGTCACTCTTCGTCCAGGAAGTCGCTTAATTTTCTACTGCAGTAACAATATATCGCCATAATCTCGCTACCTGTTGCAATTACCATAAAGTCTTGTCCGATTGCTCGATAAGCGTAGCATAAGTCCGACACCCGGGCGTTATGACCCGATTTCATGACCCCTCCACCTTCCCCCCCCCTCCCCCCTCCCCTCCCCAGAGATTGTCTAGGGAGATAAACGGGCTGAAACAATTGCTGAAAGACAGACACCTATTGATGACCGGTAGACTTTTGCTGTGGATTTCTCCTCATTATTATTGTATAAGAAATTCGGTGCAAAGTCTGGTTCTCAATCTGCCTAATAGTAGTTCCCTGTCTGATGCCAGTCTGGTTATATGGCAAAACCATTTGATTTAATCTCTGCCTATGAATTTCATTATTGGTTCTGTGCCGACTGTCCTCCAGATATCATCGTTCCTTGGTCGATCAGACACCTACTGTTGATCGGTAGACTTTTGACGTGGAGTTCTCCTCCTCATTACTGTATAAGAAATTCGGTGCAATGTCTGGTTCTCAGTCTGCCTAATAGTATCACTTCTCACAAACCATCTCAAATGGGGTTGTTGGTGACTTTCGTCAGGCTTTCAAGTTTCTAAGAAGCTGTACATATGTATGTGTGTGTGTGTGTGTGTGTGTGTGTGTGTGTAAATCGTCACCATCACACACACACACACACACACACACACACACATACATATGTACAGCTTCTTAGAAACTGTTTATTAGGGCAACTCTATTAGCTACAGTTAGAGAATTGTGTGTGTGTGTGTAAATCGTCACCATCACACACACACACGCACACATACACACACACATACACCTGAAAAGTGTCCAATTTGATTTGAAAATTATACAGTTGTGTTTTTAAACAAATTCACCGCTGAAGACAAAAATAGTTTTTGAAAACGGTTTAATTCATGAGCATAATGATTTAAGTGTTTCTGGCAGGTTGTTTTGTTCATTAACTGTGTGAGGTAGAGCTCTCTGGCAGGTTGTTTTGTTTATTAACTTTGTGAGGTATAGCTCTCTGGCAGGTTGTTTTGTTCATTAACTTTGTGAGGTATAGCTCTCTGGCAGGTTGTTTTGTTCATTATTTTGTGAGGTATAGCTCTCTGGTAGGTTGTTTTGTTCATTAACATTGTGAGGTATAGCTCTCTGGTAGGTTGTTTTGTTCATTAATTTTGTGAGGTATAGCTCTCTGGCAGGTTGTTTTGTTCATTAATTTTGTGAGGTATAGCTCTCTGGCAGGTTGTTTTGTTCATTAATTTTGTGAGGTATAGCTCTCTGGTAGGTTGTTTTGTTCATTAACTTTGTGAGGTATAGCTCTCTGGCAGGTTGTTTTGTTCATTAACTTTGTGAGGTATAGCTCTCTGGCAGGTTGTTTTGTTCATTAAATTTGTGAGGTATAGCTCTCTGGCAGGTTGTTTTGTTCATTAATTTTGTGAGGTATAGCTCTCTGGCAGGTTGTTTTGTTCATTAACATTGTGAGGTATAGCTCTCTGGCAGGTTGTTTTGTTCATTAAATTTGTGAGGTATAGCTCTCTGGCAGGTTGTTTTGTTCATTAACTTTGTGAGGTATAGCTCTCTGGCAGGTTGTTTTGTTCATTAACTTTGTGAGGTATAGCTGTCAGGCAGGTTGTTTTGTTCATTAAATTTGTGAGGTATAGCTCTCTGGCAGGTTGTTTTGTTCATTAATTTTGTGAGGTATAGCTCTCTGGCAGGTTGTTTTGTTCATTAACTTTGTGAGGTATAGCTCTCTGGCAGGTTGTTTTGTTCATTAATTTTGTGAGGTATAGCTCTCTGGTAGGTTGTTTTGTTCATTAACTTTGTGAGGTATAGCTGTCAGGCAGGTTGTTTTGTTCATTAAATTTGTGAGGAATAGCTCTCTGGCAGGTTGGTTTGTTCATAAACGTTGTGATGTAAAGCTGTCTGGCTGGGTTTATTTGTAATGAACCCAATGATGCATAAATCTCAGGCAGGTTATTTTTTCACGAACATAATGACTTATACATCTCTGTCAGGTCGTTTAGTTCAGGAAAATGTTGATGTATAACTCTATGGCAGGTTGTTGGTTCCTTAACTTAAGGATATACCTGGCAGATTGTGTTCTTCATAAACATTGTGATGTAAAGCTCTCTTGCAGGTTGTTTAGTTCATGAACGTAATGATGTATAGCTATCTGACATGTTGTTTGTTCACAAACATAAAGATGTATAAGTCTCTGGCAGGTTGTTTAGGTAATGAAAATAATGATGTATACCCCTGTATCGTGTTGTTAAGTTCATAAACATAATGATGTATAAGTCTCTGGCAGGTTGTTTAGTTAATGAAAAAAAATCACGTATAACTCTGGGTCAGGTTGTTTAGTTGATAAACATAATGATGCATAACTCTCTGGCAGGTTGTTTAGTTCATAAACATAATGCTGTATAACTCTCTGGCAGGTTGTTTAGTTCATAAACATAATGCTGTATAACTCTCTGGCAGGTTGTTTAATTCATAAACATAATGCTGTATAACTCTCTGGCAGGTTGTTTAGTTTATGAACATAATGATGTATAACTCTGTGATTGGTTGTTTAGTTTATGAACATAATGATGTATAACTCTGTGGCAGGTTGTTTAGTTTATGAACATAATGATGTATAACTCTGTGGCAGGTTGTTTAGTTTATGAACATCATGATGTATAACTGTGGCAGGTTGTTTAGTTTATGAACATAATGATGTATAACTCTGTGGCAGGTGTACTGGGTGGCTCCACTTGTAGGCGCTGTAGCTGCGGGACTACTCTACCAGCACGTTCTGGCAGAGTCCCCTAAGAGAGCAGATCTGAGTATACAGATAGACGCCACTGTGTCAAGTACAGCTACTGCTACAGAGGACCTGAAGTTCAATGATGGAACAACTGGTGTAAAGAGTAACCAAATCTTTGGCAGTGTGAAAGAAGGTTTTGACAACCCATCTTTGCAATTTGATCACAAAGCATGAGCTATTGCATTTTCTACTTTTGTTTATTATTATAATTTATTTTTATTTATTTAAAAAAATGTCCTTAGTGACTCAGCGAGCCTCTAATAGGATGCCAGTCCAACAAGAACAGATTTCGGATGCCGCATTTAGCCACGTTGTTTAAAGGCAACGTCCACTGTGGTTCCATGTGGCTGAAGGCTCGTATTTATTACTCGTTACCTTCGAAGTGTAACAATTTGCCAACACATTAATAAAATGTATACAATTTATAAACTTGTTAACATTTTTCTTTATGTGGGTTTGTAAACTAAGAGCTGATCGTCACTGGAAAGGATTGTGGGGTTGAGTTTTTTGGTTCCTGTCTCAGGTGGATTCCAAATCGTCAGGTTTTTGGCAGGTCCCAGTATGGAGAATAATAGAAGAATGTCGACCGTGTATTGAAACTTGTTTGACTGAAGCTGCCCAGACTGCAAGACGGCATCATATTTCTCTTGACAAAGGTAGACAATCAACACCCACATATTGCCCCTCCCCATTGCAACGCTCTCAGACATACAGAGGGAGGGGAGAGGAAGTAGGTGATGTCTATGTACACACTTTGAAAACTTTGTCTTGACATCGACCCGGCTGAAACGAGATAGAAGATAAGTGATATTGTGCCTTTGTGTAGTATTGTATATTCTGTATATTTGAGGTTTTGAACAACGGATCAACATCATGGCACACGGTTAGTAACCCATGTGCTCCGTTCTTTTTCAAACTTCAAGTCTAAGTCCGAAGAAGCTCACCACAGTGCACAGGCTCTGTAGCACAGGCGAGGATCCTGAAATACTTTGGGTAGATCTGTAACTCAAAATTTTGTCCGGGTGGCGCCGTTAGGCTACTCTTTTCGATTTCCAACTGCAAAGGGATTTTTCTTTTACGTGCACAACAATGCATACGGGCGTCCGATCTCACTACCCAGAGACCAGGTGGAATTACTAGAAAATCCCAGCCCGTACATGCTGAGGAAGGCTTCATTGCCGCAACGTTTACGTTTTGTTTGTGTTTGTTGTACGGTGAAGCTCACTGATATACTTTTTGTTCGATTGTAATTCTTTCCTACACACACACTGAATTGTTGAATAAAGTCATCAAATTCCTTGGAAAAAAGACTTCAGTCGTAAAGGTTGGTTGTACCTGTGAAATGAAAAAAATGGCTTGTGGCTGGTAGTCAAAGAGCTGCAGATGCTTTATGCAATATTGCGTGTGTGCAACTGTTGATTTGTTGTAGCTGCTGCTTACATCGACGATAAGTTGCAAAGTGGTCAAGTGGGTTCGTTTTCACGGGCACGTCATTCAGTTCACGGGTGTAGATTTTACGGAAATTGTTGAGGATCATCGCCGAAGTTGGGTAGTTTGTGCTTTGTGCTTTGCTGGACAGACAGCTGACCATTTTGCTGAGAGAGGTCGAGCTAAATGGTGTAACCCAGTGTAATGAAGTGATTTCTCTCACCTTTGATTTTTAGGTTTTACAAGAGCGTAGTAATCAGATTTCTTAGCAGCCTACTTTCATAGTGGAGAAGGCACCTGATCGATAGATAAGCGGTCTATAATATGCAAGTTGTGTGACAGTCTGTGATCTGCAAGCACGAGTGCTTGATGCCCTATTAATTAGTCTCCAGAGGTTCAACAGGCTGTTCATACCTTGTTATTCAAAGATTTTGTACCCGGAAGGTAACAAATTGATCTTGGAAAAGGTTAAATGCGAACTAGCAAGAGGTGACAGCTTATACAACACAGATCTCATATCTCAGGCAAACCTGATGACACCATAGTTCACCATGTGCCCAGAATTCCACCAACAAACAATAGATAAGAATCTAGGTGTATTTGTTTGTCTGCCAGTGTGTAGTATAACCTGCGTGCAGTTATCGTGGATCATAACGTGACGTTATCTACTGGTCATAGTTGAAGGACACACCAAAACTAATAATAATAATAAAATTAATAATAAAAAACGGGTGTGTGAATTCAGGTAATGCGTTAGAGATAACTCTAGGGACATAGATCTGGGATAAGGAAGTGAGCAGCGTTGAGAAAATCATTGGGACAACAAAGTAGGTAGGCAAAACGTTCAATAGGTATAATACATGGTAAGTTACTGACATTCGTAAGCTTTAGTTCGTTCAACAATAGGTAAACACACATGCATGCCATTATCTCGAAAACTTCCTGCTATATCGTAACAATGATTTTGTTCGCATTAGCCTTGGAATATTTATGAAGTTGTGAAAAAAAAATTTTAATAGAAGAATATCGTTTGTGATTGTTTATTACAAATTATATATATATATATATTTATAATTTAATCATAAAACCGTCTTGGTAGACTTTCGAAAGGTTTACTTTCATTAGTTTCAGGAAGTAATGCACACTATAACTGGCTTAACAGGGGTCAAAAAAACATGCGCAATTTCATGATTTTCTCTCACAAAGTCGCACTCTTAGTGACCTGACGCAACAACAACAACAACAAAAAAGACATCAGTCAAGGTTGTTTAGTCAAAGACGCATCCATAAATTAGTGTTGAGTTATTGTGTCATATTCATCTTTTTTTAAAGTTAGTTGCGTATCCTTTACAGGACGTTGCAGAACCAACCCTAACAGCCCCTGGCTGTTGTGTGGTTTCTCTTGGCAAATATACGTCCAGTAGTTTGCCATTGCTTCTGGACGGTCGGCTTTCTTGATACCACTGTCGAAACCAACGCAAGGCGCATTGCCCGCAACTGGGATCGAACCCGGCATCCCGGCATTTCGAAGCGAAGCGTTCGCATCGACTTAGCCACAGAGCCGACATTGTGTCATATAGCTGGCTTATACAAGCTAACCTAGATAACAGCATCAGAGTAAATGTATGACTATGCAGAAGGTTATCGCTTTACTGTACCAGCACTTTCTCGGGGAATCTTAGATGGGTCATTTATATTGTGATATATATGATCCAGAGTTACGAACACGATTGGCGCTTGGTCTGGATAGAGCATCATTTAACCGTTGGATTAGACAGGACACGGAGTATGCTCATGCCAAACTAGGAAGGAAAAGGAAAGTTGACGACTTTGATGCAAATGTCATTAGACGTGAGATCTTAAAAACGTTTGAGACAAATCAACTTGTTACCCTCCGAAAACTGAAATTAACATTAAAATCGCAATTACAAAAAGTAGTCTATGAAAAATTGAAAGAGCCAGCGAGTTCACTTTCATTAAAACTGTAGGGGAAAGAAATATTATTTGTGAAAATCCACGTTTGATTGCTAGTCGAAGCAAATATCTGAGACAGATCCGTGAGCGACGGATGCAAGGCTATGATATTGTATATTTGGATGAATCCTGGGTTAATGCCCACCATGCCTAAGCTAAAGAATGGCAGTCATGAGACGGTGAACAGAAAAGAAACATTCCAAGCAGCAAAGGCTAGCACATTATACTCACTTATGCAGGAAGCATTGAAATAGGCCTGATCAATGATGCTGGACTTATTTTCCAATCAAACAGTACGGATGCTAAGGACTACCACACTGAAAGGAATGTACACATTTTCAGACACTGGATGGAGAATGATCGACTTCCAATTCTGGACAGACCATCATGCCTAGTAATAGATAATGTCGCCTATCATAATGCTGTATCAGAGGAAGATAACGTACCAACGGTATCAAATACACAAAGATCCACATGGTTTGCTAAGAAAAAAGTCAACTTTGACGACACATATTTGAAGTCAGATTTGTTGCAGCTAGTGAAGAAATCAAAGACAAATGTGTATCACACTTACAAAATCGTTAATGAATACCGTCACAATTCTCGGCGACTCCCTGCACGTCATTCACACCTCAACCAGATAGAGGCTGTCTGGGCTAAAGTCGAAAGACAAGTTGCCGAAAAGAATGATATTGAATTTCTGACACGTGAGTTTCTTTCAACAATAGACATTCTTTTTAGGGAAAAGTGTTGAACATGTGCTCCGAGAGCCAGACAAGTACTGGCACAGAGATGGATTTCAATTTGTTCAGCCAGTAACAATTTTTAACTTTTTGGGATCCTCAGATTCGCAATGATGAAAACTATTTTTCGATGGGATTGTTAGATCCCATTATTTCATTGTCTGTTCTTTTACTTCATATTATTACTTTATTCTAACTCTTATCAGTATCATTTATGTATCATTACCATTTGTATTTCTTTTTTTTTTCCCAGTATTATATATTAACAATACTACTGTTTTTTTTTTTTTTTTTTGGACAATATTTTTAACCATTGTTTTTTATTTTTTTAAATTTATTCCACATCACATTTTTTTAAACGTTGCTCACGTCATCCCTTAGAGATCTACATACTCTGCTCTCCTCGTTTTTACGTTTGTGTAGTTCACTTATGTTTGAAAAAGGCCGCCGTGCCGAAACGTTACGTTGTGTTGTTTTTTGCACGTTTTTCTGCTTCCCCATTTTGTTAAGCTTTTTAGTCAAACTTCTCTGGAATTCCTTGTATAAGCTTGACTGCAGTGACACCTATATTTTCACAGTGTGTAAATTCAATAAATACTCGCCAAACAAAGATGGCAAATACTGTGAGAAAACCAATATTAAAGTGGTGTGTCTGACCTGTGTTGTTGTATGCATGTGAGACATGGACAATCAATAGACACTTTGAAAATTATTGACTCGCAGCGGAATTGTGGTAAAAATTCCAAACAATTTAATGGAATCTTAGGATAGTGGCTCGAGACAGATCAACACTGTAAACCAGGGCTTTTCACTAAAACAAAAGGTGCCGGTACTCACACCAGTGTCTATTAAACTAGCGTCCACACTTTGAAACATTTTCTTCAACGAACTGAGATTTTCTCAAAACCACTGCTTTTGCTATCCACTGCAGGATGATGCCATCTTAGCAGCCATGATTGCACATTCTTTGAAAGAACGAACTAAATAAGAGGAGATTCGAGCATCCTGGTGGACAGCAGTGTAGAAGTTGTGTGTACAAGGAGAGAATTTAAGTAAAAGGACCTTTTCACGTCTTTAGGAGTACTGGGCACATAGGGCTAGATCTATATTTTATAGACCAATCGGCAACACAGAGAGATGATCTAGTTCAAGTCAGTATGAGGCTCATCTGAGACAATCCCATACATTTTCAGTCCAAGATATGCATGGCTCTCTAGCGTAGTTGGCTAAACCGGATTGCGCGGTGAGCGAGTGACGAACTCCTTGTGGTCCGGGTTCACTCCCAGGGGTAGACAGAAAAGCCACATTCCTCCCAGATTTACGGTATTTACAATGGAATCAAGGCTGAAAGGTTGCGATATCCATAATACCGAGCCAAAGGGTTAACAACTCATGGCTTCTGGAAAGTAAAACAAACATCAGTCCAGAATATTGCAACTTCCCCCACTTCGGTTATAATTTCTTGTCTCTTGACCACGTACATCTTCAAAGTTTGTTTCAACAATTTCATTAAACTTTAGCAATTGTAGGAATTTCTGCTTCGTTCCTCTTTTACTCATCGGTAGAAAGCGGCCATTTATTTTATTTATTATAAAATAGGATTGTACGGAACCATTTTACCCGACCTGGACATCACACAAGCGATAAACAACAAAGTGCCACCATGTGGATTTGGATCACCCGTGGAGAGGTCCGGGAAACCGAGTTTAGCCATTAAACCATATTTGAGGCCGGGCTATATTGAGGCCCCTTTCAAGAGCCAGGGTTAGGCTTTAAAAAAAACACGAAAAATTGCTACTCACAAGGAGATGATTAGGTTGTGCTGTACGGATCAAATTAGGAACAACCCAAAACTTCAGTGTGCACTCCCTGATGCAAAATGTATTAAAAAACTGTAAATGGAAGACTGATAGATGCATCACCTCTTTCACCTCAGTTGTTGTGATTACCACAGAGACCAAGCAGAAGGTTACCTAACACTAACACAGAGGGGGAAGATGCGATGCGTAGTCTCGAGTCATGGTGTCCGCCTCGAGGGCTGAATATTCCGGGTTCAATCCCCGGTAATGCATGGGATCTTTTCACGTGAACTTGGACTCTCTTAGTCTTTGTATAGTGAGATCGGGCGCCCGTGTGCATTGTTGCGCACGTAACAAATCCATTGGCAGTTGAAAGTCGAAAAGAGTAGCTTAACGTCTCTGCCTGGGCAAAGTTTGTAGTTTTAAATCTACCTTAAGTGTCTCAGGATCCTCGCCGGTGCCACAGAGCTTGTGCACTGTGCTGAACTTCTCCGGACTTAAGTTAGAAGAAAAATGAAGCACTTGTGGGTGACTACCAAGGTGCCATGATGGTGATCCGTTGTTTTAAGTCTAAAACCTCAAACAGTGATAGAGATTTTTCAAATAATTAACACTGACGGCTGTTAAGAGACAACATGTCATTTAATATGTTTCACGCAAAGACGAGGAAGATGATGATCAATTGTCTCTAACTGCGCTGAATCGTCACTAATAATTAATTGTCCCACGAGTGTTATTAAACCGTCCACCGTCCATATGCAGGAGGTCCTTCACGTAACGTCACTTTCATCATAGCCTGCCAAAAAAAAACTCGGTCTCTCGCCAGCTGTCTAGCCTTGAGGAGTTTCCGAGCCGGTATGTCAGTTATATCCTATACCCATCTTCGTGTTGGTTGGTACTTGCTCCTGTTTAGTGGTATCATGCCTTGTGCTTTTATTCTTTCCAGTTTGCTTGATATGACCGATATATTTAAGTTTACGAGATACGATGCTGTATCACACACCGTAAAACAAAAAATCGTTGTTGACTTACCTGTGTTAATTTCCTGTTGTACATTAACGATGTATATATGCGTCTAATATACACATAAATTCCGTATTCTCTTTCCAAGTGACAGAAACGGATCAGCCCTCGCATACAAACTGGTGCTTCTTGTACTAAGAACTAGGACAACATCTAGCTAGCAACTACTCACCCACTTTGTCTCATACACTTGCACGACTGACTTCCTGTACCCCTTTTTACAATCAAGAATCACCACGCCCTCTTCCTTAGTTCCCTGTAAGACCAAAACCCCGCACTTATGTCTCGAGGATATGTTAGATCTGTCTGGGTTACATTTCAACAATCTTAAACAATCAGCTGTACCCAAAAGCTAAAACGAATAACCCAGATGTTTTGAAAGAGTCGAGCGCTCAAAGACAACTTATCTTAAACGTCAAAACTGACATTCGTAATTTGTGGTTATGTTATGACAAGAGGGAAACTGCAGCATGCTGTGCCCGCTGAAAAGATCGGTGGAAAAAGAGACAAAGGAATACAGCGTGAGAAGATTCTTGAGAGCTTTAATGACGACGATGATGAGGTACCAACTCAAATAAAACACTCAAAACTGGAAGTAAATTTTGCCAGCATCGAACTACCTAGCTGCACATGTTGGAGCTATCTCACTAGCTTTCGAAGTCTAACCTCGCAGTTTCTAGGTAGGTTAACCCCCCCCCCCCCCCCCCCCCTTGCCTTCCTCCTCCAAGCAAAGCCATGTTTTGAACTGGTAAGATTAAATTATCCATGTAAAGTAAATATTTTTTAGACAGAACATGAAAAGGAACAGATCCCAGAACTCTATGGCGACAGGCAAGATTAAACCTGAAAGAGCAAGGGGAGGCTATGAGATTAATGCCCGGATGGTTTGGTCATAAGGATGCTGTTAGACAAACGGACTAATCGGAATTCTGCTGTGACTTGTCATTTTTTTTTTTTTTCACTGTTGATTATAACTCTGGGATGACGGTGAGCTTGCGTGAACATCTTTTGTTGTATTTGTAATGAGAAGACATAGACAAACTTCACCATTTCCCCAGACATCAAGGAGTATGTAGGTTGCTACTTCGGTAGTATAGCTTGCAATCTAGTCTGGAGGCTGTCGTGCAAGAGGCAGGGGCTGGGGGTGAGAACACAGGATTGTCATGTCAAGGATTCCTTGCTACCTGTAGGTTACCATAGCAAGCCGCCGTTATGTAGCGGTTGGAAGCTCACCTGTGGATCCGAAGATCGGTTGTTCAGGTCCTGACACCCCCCCCCCCCACCCCTCCCCCCCCCCCCAAGAAGATGTTGTTCCCATGTCGATCTACGCTTAAATGGGTACTAGGTAACGTCAAGGGAAGTAAAGGCGGCCATAATTACGTTGAACTACTGAGTGCCGATACCTTATTGTGTATTGGGCACATAGGGTTAGACATATATTTTATAGATAGTCGGCACTCAGTAGATCAACATAATTCCGGCAAGTAGGAGTAGTGAATTTTGCTTTCTGACATCTGGTTTCTGTTTCTTTGTCAATTCTGAAATTTTCCATGATCACACTTCCTAGATAATTTAATTCCATAGACAAGGATTCAGCTGTATGTGTGCTCTTTAATTATACCAAATTTCGTCCTTTTTAGGACGAAATCTTTTGTCATTTGAAGCCCCACTCTGGCTTTTGCCAGGGGCCGCAATATAGGCAGGCCATTTATATGGCCAAATGTCTGAACGCGGTTTCTGGGACCTCTCCACGGCGATCCTCATCCACATGGTGGCACTTTGTGTCATCGGGTGTTTATCGCTTGTGTGATGTCCTGGTGGGGTAGAAATTCAGTTCAGTTCAGTTCATGTGTGCTCTTAACCATTTCTTGATTAATTTCAGTTTTGGCATAACTGTATAAAATGTGTGACAAAAAGGCATTACACAATCGTATTGCTGTTTGCAGAGTGTGCTAAGAAATTGATAGACTGTTAATAATCTAACAAAAGTGAATTTTTGACCACTGTGGCAACATACTGACCAAGAGATGATACTAGCAAATATGTTTGTTTATATACAGTGTGAGAAGAGGCTGTTGTGATACTAGCAAATATGTTTATTCATATACAGTGTGAGAAGAGGTTGTTGTGATACTAGCAACTATGTTTGTTTATATACAGTCAGAAAAGAGACCGAAGACGTGAGGGATACTATCTGTTTAGGTTGTTACCCAGAGCAATGGTACTAACATTTTTTATTGTTGATGTAATGTGTGACAGGAGATTACGTAAGTGTTTACACTTTAATACTAGATTGTTTATATAGAGTATGACAAGAGGTTAACTAAGTGTTTATGTTTCTAAATTAGACTTATGATTAAAGTGTAACAAGAGATTGATGGAATGTTTACAATCTCATGTGAGCCTGTTTATACAGAGTATGACAAGACGTTAACGAAGTGTTTATACCATCATCTTAGATCGTTTATGAGAGTGACAAGAGATTAACCCAACCTTCATACTATCAAAATAACATTGTTGATGAGAGGGTGACAAGAGTTTAACAAAACCTTCACACCATCAAATTAGATTATTTGCCATGGAGTATGACAAGATTCTGATAATGTGTTATCAATCAAAAAAATAAAACGCATTACATAATATCAATAGAATCTTGTCCATCTAATGATCGGTCACCAAGACAATCATATTTCTAAAATTTTTATTTTCCAGCAGTCAAACGCAAGCTTGGATTATCATCAGCATTTGGATGTCTGAAAAACCAGTGCATCAGCTCTAACACACAAAACATTTTAACATGTCACTGTCGTGAAAAGAACTCACTGCTTCCAAAGTACAACATCAATTATTCTTCGTCAGTCTCACGTCATTCTGGTACTCAGAGACGAGAGACTGAGATTTTCCAACTAATAGATACCAAAATTGTCTTTTTCTTCTTCACAGTTATATATTTAGTTACTGAAACTTATTTAAACCGGAACCTAATGTTTTGTTCACTGAATGAATAACACAATATTTTTTTTTTAACTTCTGTAAAGTTCAGATAACCGACAATTCAAAATTTGGTGCTTAAAGGTTTTCTAAAATGAGAATTTAACGCTGAGTTCATCAAACTTGAATAAGATTCCTACTTTATTTCGTGAATATTGTATAAATGATCATGGGAGAACATGACAAACTGGCCAGATTTCTAGGCTTTCATGAGTTAAAAAGTGTTAAATTTTACAAAGCCATTGTCTGTGAATTCGTGGCCACCGCCATCTTACTGTTGTTTGTTAGCGGGACAACGGTTACCATGGACACAGGAAAACCGTTGAACACCTACACGGGAGCCTTCAACTCTGCAATGGCTGTGGCCTTTATTGTGTGGACATTTAACCACGTCAGTGGAGCCCATATAAACCCAGTTATCACTCTGAGCTTTTTAGTCACAGGTCATGTGTCCCTGACAAAGGTGAGTGCAATTTTTTGGTTCTTTCGTGAAATCCTACCCAAGATGACGTCACAGGACAGTCCAACATTTTGGAGGGTGGTAAGACTGGGTTTCCCGGCTTTCTGATGTTTTAACGACTCCAAAATATCTAGAACTGGGCTCTAACCCCAACCCACGTACGTCCCACGAGAGAGTGCAGCCCAGGTCCCACGACTGCATGCAGCCTAGGTCCCACGACTACATGCATCCTACCTACCACCCCTCTGAAATATTAGACTGTCCAGTGACCTTTGGATTTCCCCTATTTGGGTTAGGATATTTAAAAACACAACTTTTTTTAAAATAGAAACCTAGCTACAAATTGCAGCTTGCGTCATCATCAACTTTTCTTCCTTCTTCTTCTTCTTCTTCTTCTTCTTCTTCTTCTTCTTCTTCTTCTTCTTCTTCTTCTTCTTCTTCTTCTTCTTCTTCTTCTTCTTCTTCTTCTTCTTCTTCTTCTTTTTCTTCTTCTTCTTTTTCTTGTTCTTCTTTTTCTTGTTCTTCTGCTTCTTCTTCTTCTGCTTCTTCTTCTTCTTCTTCTTCTTCTTCTTCTTCTTCTTCTTCTTCTTCTTCTTCTTCTTCTTCTTCTTCTTCTTCTTCTTCTTCTTCTTCTTCTTCTTCTTCTTCTTCTTCTTCTTCTTCTGTAGGGTAGAGCTTTTTAGAGCTTTACACGTAGGGAGCGATATCTGCAGCTGTTAATTAGGCACTTCAGAAAACGCCACATTAGTAGGCCTTTATGACGTGCTTGTTAGAGTCAATGGCTCCATCTCCACCCACCCACGTTTACATTCTTCCGATGCCAAGATTTTTTGAAAGTATGTTTGGATTGGCTGTGTCTTTAACCGAACAGAAACAACAAAAACAAAAAAACTGACTGAACATAAAATTGCTTAGTAAACTCACAACCAGACAACAAACGCTGGTTTAGGTGAGCGACGTCCTGTAAAGCAAATGAAACTAATTTAAATAATATTTCAAGGAAAATGAATCCATCAGGAAGTGACGTCATTACTCTGGGGACATTAACTTGTCTGCTTCGTCTCTTCCTCCAGGAGCCAACAAGAAGCAGACATGCTATATTAAGTTTACAAATGTAGGCCCATTTTTAGAGAAGTATTTCAGTTGAAGTGAAATGCAAATAGATGAAGTTATATTTTAATGTTGACTTCATTCCCAGTGTCACGCCACATGTTGATCCACATAACAACTAACTGGAATGCTATTCTGGTTATTCAAGGTCCATAAATATACGATGATCCTTGCTGGATTTCCTTTTAAGAGTTATACAGCACAAATTTAAATGTAATAAATTTATCTTTCACAAAAGCATGTGCTTCTGGTGTTTGATGTAAGTTCTAAATAGAACCACAACAGGAGCGTTGAAAATGTCGCAACGAGCTACAATACAAGAGTTTGCTACATTGTTTCCAAGTTTAGTCAGAAGTTGTAAAGGAGTAACTTACATGGTTATGGTTAGAGTAATTTCCGCCGATACTGTAAAATGTGTTTTTTTACCTTACTCAAATGATACAAGTGATGAAAATAGCAAAGAAAACTTTTGTCTAGATACAACTGGGTAGTCTAAATATTTATGTATAAAATATTGACGTCAAGATGAAAAAAAAAGCCAATGAAAAATACATATCAAATATCCAGGATAAGAAATTACAGAGGAATTATAGGAAATACAATCACACGAATTTGTAAACGCACTCTAGTAGTCCCAGTTGCAATCTAACGTTGCCTGTGTTAATAACGCCTATATTTTCACTTTATCCTTTCGCTGAGGATATGAAGAAAAGACAGCCTACCTCATTGAGCTGTTTTGTTCTCCATGTGTCATGCACCTTGTTGTATTTGACTGTGACTTGCTTTCACAGACGCTGGCTTACACTGTAGCGCAGTGTGCTGGTGCCATTTCAGGCGCCGCGCTTGTCTGGATCCTGGTCCCCCCAGCCTGGCGGGGAACGATGTCCAGTACTACATTTGCTGACGATGTGACAGTAGCTCAGGTCAGTTCTTATTTCAGTGTTGTTGGTTTAGTTGTTTTGTTGTTGTTATTGGTTTTATTGTTGCTCTTTCTGCCACTGTGGTGTACCGTCTAGACGCTCACCTGCGTGTTTGAAGGTAGTGGGTTCAAATCTGAACAAAGCTGGACTCTTTTTTTTTTTTGGACCCTGGCTCCTGTCGACTTAGTCTTAAATAGGTAACAGGTATACATGGAAAATATAGGTGGCCCGCGTGATGCTGACCACATTACCCACTGAGTGCCGATTGGTCTATAATATAGGTCTGACACTATAGGCTCCATACGACTGAGAGCGTGGGAGGCGAGGGGAGGGGGGGGAGGTCTTCTACATTACTGTTGCTATTTCTTTTATTGATTGAGCTGTTTTTGTTCTTCTATTTGTTGTTGATGTTGTAGAACGTGTCTGTCCGATTTCGGGACTTTTCTACATAAAATAATTGAACACATTTTCTAGAACTTGATATTTACAAACTAACTCAGTTAAACTTTCTATATGTCAATGTTAACTTAAACACTCAGTTAAACTTTCTATATGTCAATGTTAACTTAAACACTCAGTTAAACTTTCTATATGTCAATGTTAACTTAAACACTCAGTTAAACTTTCTATATGTCAATGTTTACTTAAACACTCAGTTAAACTTTCTATATGTCAATGTTAACTTAAACACTCAGTTAAACTTTCTATATGTCAATGTTAACTTAAACACTCAGTTAAACTTTCTATATGTCAATGTTAACTTAAACACTCAGTTAAACTTTCTATATGTCAATGTTTACTTAAACACTCAGTTAAACTTTCTATATGTCAATGTTTACTTAAACACTCAGTTAAACTTTCTATATGTCAATGTTAACTTAAACACTCAGTTAAACTTTCTATATGTCAATGTTAACTTAAACACTCAGTTAAACTTTCTAAATGTCGATGGTTACATAAACACTCAGTTACAGTTTCTAGATGTAAATGTTTAATTAAACACTCAGTTAATGTTTCTAATTGTCAATATCTACATAAACACTCAGTTAAATTTTCTAGATGTCGATGGTTACATAAACACTCAGTTAAAGTTTCTAGATGTAAATGTTTAATTAAACACTCAGTTAATGTTTCTAATTGTCAATATCTACATAAACACTCAGTTAAATTTTCTAGATGTCGATGGTTACATAAACACTCAGTTAAAGTTTCTGAATGTCAATGTTTACTTAAACACTCAGTTAAAGTTTCTAAATGTCGATGTCTACATAAACAATCAGTTAAACTTCACAGAGGCTGATGTATAGAGAATCACTCCGTGACACTTACTAGACGCTAATATTTACTGAAACACTCACTTAAATTTTATAGACGCTGATTTTCAGAGAAACTCTCCAAGTTAATGCCACACACTAAAACTTCTGCTATAATCGGTTACAGGTGTCACGCCCAATTGTAACAATCTGTAACTCAGTAACTGGTCCATGTACGTTGTTGACAATTTGCATGCGAGGTGTTAATAATCATTTCCCGGTTAGCAATTTTAATACATGCAAACAAACGTCTAGCTTTCATTTTGCTATGTTTGCGTATATTTAATCAAACAGTCACAGATTCAAAACAAATTATCAGTGTGCTTACAATTAAATAAGTAAAGAGTACTTTTCAAAGCATCATATTTTTGCGTTCAAGCGGTGTTTTACTCTCAGGTGGTAATCTCAGCATTACAATCCTATGAGTAGTGGATTTTTTTTATTGTATACAGGATAGGTTATCAAAAAAAACCATGCACCGCTGCAAAAGTGAACTGGTTTCCAAGTAATTTCCACGTGTGTATCAATTACTGATTCTATTTTAGGGGTAAACAAATTATTAGTAAAATGATAATCAACAAAATAGCTTGAGCGCTTTAAGTTAACAGTAAAACCTCCTAGTAGTTTAATTATGCAGTCATACATTATAAACCTCCTAGTGCTTGAGCAGTTCACTAATTAACATAGAAACTTTTTTAGCTTTTAAGCTTTTCCCTAGGGTTAACTTAAAACCTCCTAGCTTGAGCTGTTCACGAACGTTAACATAAAACCTCCTAGCTTAAACTGTTCACCAAAGTTAACATAAAACCTCCTAGCTTGAGCTGTTCACCAACGTTAACATAAAACCTCCTAGCTTGAGCTGTTCACCAACGTTAACGTAAAACCTCCTAGCTTGAGCTGTTCACCAACGTTAACGTAAAACCTCCTAGCTTGAGCTGTTCACCAACGTTAACGTAAAACCTCCTAGCTTGAGCTGTTCACCAACGTTAACGTAAAACCTCCTAGCTTGAGCTGTTCACCAACGTTAACGTAAAACCTCCTAGCTTAAACTGTTCACCAAAGTTAACATAAAACCTCCTAGCTTAAACTGTTCACACAACGTTAACATAAAACCTCCTAGCTTGAGCTGTTCACTAATGTTAACTTGATTATCAACTGACCAGGGCTTTGCTGTGGAGGCTATCAGCACGTTCACGCTCGTCCTAGGCGTGTTTGCCACCAGTGACCAGTTCCGTACTGACCACGCTGGCTCACAGGCCTTGACGGTCGGGCTCATTGTCTACATCGAAAGTGCCTGGGCGGTGAGTAACTTTAATATCTGTTGCCTGAGCGGTAAGTGACTTTTATATCTGTTGCCTGGGCGGTAAGTAACTTTAATATCTGTTTCCTGGGCGGTAAGTAACTTTAATATCTGTTGCCTGAGCGGTAAGTGACTTTTATATCTGTTGCCTGGGCGGTAAGTAACTTTAATATCTGTTGCCTGGGCGGTGAGTGACTTTAATATCTGTTTCGTCGTTTTATTGTGCACACAGATGTAAATCTATTCTTCAATTCGTTTTATCTTTTAGGTTTAGGATTAAATAACAGTTTAACATCATGGCCCAAGGGTAGTAACCGTCAGTGCTCCATTCTGCTTCTAACTCAAACCTCAGAGTTTCTCAACGCAGCGCACGAACTTCGTAACATCGGCGAGGATCCTGAGACACTTTGGGTAGATTTTCAACTCAAAAATTCTGCCCAAGCAGCGCCGTTAGACTCTTTTCGATTTCCATCTGCCAAGGGATTTTTTATGTGCTCAACAATACACACGGGGGTCTGATCTTACTACCCAGAGACCAGGGGAAATAACTAGAAGTAACGTCAGAATGTATTTTCCTATTATAGTTGATTCAATGTCAAGCAAGACTATAATCAGCTATACAATAATACATTATTCCATTATAGTTAACTCACTGTTAAACAAAAATATGATCGGTTAACTATAGAACAAATCTATTATCCCTTTATAGTTGATTAAATTCAGCTATAAAATAATGCAATCGCCAATTATAGTTGATTCTTTACCAAGCAAAACTATGGCCAGTTGGCTATAGAACAATTAATTATCTCAATTCTGTTGCCTCAGTACCAATAAGAATATAACTTACTATAGAACAATGTATTATCCCATGATAGTTGACTCATTATTAGGAAAGATTATGATCATCTATAGGGCAACACATTATCTCATTTTAACTGACTCATTACCAAACAAGAATATGATTAGCTAGATGTACGACAACGCAGTATCTCATTATAATTGACTGATTACCAAGCAAGATTATAATCAGCTATAGAAAAATGAATTTTTCCAACCAAGATGGAGCCCAATCTTCTAGAATGAACCTTTCTGGCAAATCTATCAACCATGTGGAGCAGTTTTATTCATTTGTCTTTGTTATCAAACGTCAATGAAGAATGATTGTATCAGCTACAATTTTGGTTGCATAATTTAACAACATAATTTAAGAACAAATCAGTCAAACACTGCATTATAAAGACTGATGAATATCTTAAGCATGATGTTCCAGTCATTGATGGTTAGACAGTACAGAATCATTTGGTAATTATCATCAACAATCGGTGGGTTCTTGACAAAATGGCGCACTTGTCATGTCATGCCTTAAAAATATCATTCTCTAGCCAATTCTCCAACCCTATGTGCTTTCACAGCCAATGAATCTCTATTTTCCTAATGTCTCTTTCACGGAATTCTGCATCTCGCTCAATTGTCCGGAAACTCTACCATCCAGCGTCGTTTTGTTCATACTGACAAAGTTAGTTGCGTATCCTTTACAGGACGTTGCAGAACCAACCCTAACAGCCCCTGGCTGTTGTGTGGTTTCTCTAGGCAATATACGTCCAGTAGTTTGCCATTGCTTTCTGGACGGTCGGCTTTCTTGATACCGCTGTCGAAACCAACGCAAGGCGCAGTGCCCGCAGCTGGGATCGAACCTGGCATCCCGGCATTACGAAGCGAAGCGTTCGCATCGACTTAGCCACAGAGCTGACTTGTTCATACTACATGACCTTAAACATGACAAAAATATCAGAGATTTGGCAACAGGATGCTGTTTATGAGTCAGTTTATACAGACAGCGAATGTATTGAAAAAAATTAATCAAAAAAGGAATCTGGCTGTGAAACATAGGCAACTCATATTTTTGGGACCGATCATGAAAAGGGGATACTGGAGAATGTATTGACAAAAAGAAACTGGAAACAAAAGAACGAACGAAAGGACAACATTTATTTTCAAAGGGTCACAAACTGGGTACGCAAGTCTGTCTTACATTCGGTTTTTCCAGACACCCATCTTTCAAGCAGTAATTGTATTGTGTGTTAATTATAACAATATACGATATAAGAATGTCAAATTAAGCAAAACAGAAACGAAAAACATGGACGGTCAATGTATACTTTCAGCAGCACACACTTAAATATCACACATGAATGCGTTCTGATAGAGAGTGAGAAAAAAGAGAGAGGGGAGAGAAATAGAAGGGCAGGAGGGGTGGGGGGGGGGAGAGAAAAAGTTAAAGAGAAGATATTAATCAGTGATGTAACATATCATTGAAGAACATCTATATAGAAAACCTTTTGTCAGTAAAAGGACTGGCATCAGGCAGAGGATAAACATAAAGATCATCACCATACGACATGATTGGTGAGAAGATTTATCAATCAGTCAGTCAAGTGCCGTCTCTACAAAGTTGGCTGCAATGTATATCCAACACTCTCTGTCTTTTTGTCGTGGTAATACACTTTCTCAGGCTACTATTCGTCCATTTCTTGATATTGTCCTCCCAGCTGTATCGTTATCTATCTCTTTCTCTCCCACCTTCAACTTGCCCCTTCTGTATGTTTTTTTTTTTTTAATTGTTCTGACTTTTAATTTGAATTTTGAAAAGAAAATGACTCGGCTTTCAGGTCCATGTAGCGCAATATGGGCACAATAAGGACATGGGAAGTAAAAGAGGCCGGCGTCATGTTGGCTGCATCAGCCGACGACTGCTGATTGGTCTATTAAATATATGTCTAGCCCTATATGCCTAATTCTTGTAAGGGCGTGACAAACAAAATCCTTTCTTCTTCTTCTTCTCTTATTGTTTTATCTGGCCCACCTCTACCATAGATACATCGTGCTGCTGGAGAGTTTCTATGATGTCTAGTTTCCATCTTGTTCTTGGTGTACCTCATGCTCTACGTATATTTTTTCTTGTGGCCTATGAATGTTATGGTACGGCGTCAGGAGGGATTCTCTCGGAGTGGGCAAACAATTTGATCTGCTGTTTTTGCATGTAATTTAGATTTGGTTGTGTGCCAGATTCTCTCGTTTGGCCTGATCCTGATCTGATCTCTTCTGATCCCTCCTGCAGCCCTTCTCAGGCATCTCATTTTCATGGTTATTAATTTCCTTTTATGGTTTGGGTTGAGTCACCAAGCCTAACATTGGTTGCATAGAGTTGGAATGATACGCTTTGTATGAGATGTTTCTTTGTGCTAACTGGGATTGTCTTATGCTGTAAGGAAAAAAAAGGTGGGGGCGGTTAGCGGTCACAATACTTGGTTTGTTTCACTAAATCTGATGTTAATTTATTCATCTATTCTTCCATCCTCTGTGATTATTTTCACTATATCTTTTAATGTTGGCAAAATATTTAAATGTGTTTTATTTTTCAGAGGATATATGGCGTGACTAACACTACCTACTGTTTGTCTTATCATTGTATTCTTGGTGGGGACTTTGTTTTTGAAATTTCCCACAATTTCCTAAAAGTTTCTGATCTTTACATCCACTTCCAGATGTGAGATTGCGTTGTATCGCCGTCGCCATTGCCATCGTTCCTTGAAGGTGATCATTGATTTGTTCGTTTTCTTTAACTGGGCAAGGAATAAATATATCCTCACTGAGATAAGTTTCAATCAATGATTCCCCTGCATGTGTGGTCTGTCGGAAGCCTGTGTCTCACGTCACAATTGACTCTCAGTGCACTGAACTTCTTCTTCTTCTTCTTCTTCTTCTTCTTCTTCTTCTTCTTCTTCTTCTTCTTCTTCTTCTTCTTCTTCTTCTTCTTCTTCTTCTTCTTCTTCTTCTTCTTCTTCTTCTTCTTCTTCTTCTTCTTCTTCTTCTTCTTCTTCACTTCCTCTTTTACCGCTGTGGGTGTCGAGGGAGATATAAGGTTCTGTCTCTAGCTCTTCTGGCCGCCTCGACCATAGGCACATAGTGCTGTTGTAGAGTTTCTCTGATGTTATCCTTCCATCTTGTTCTTGGTCTACCTCGTGCTCTACGTCCTTCTTCTCTTTCCATGTATGCTTTTTATGGTATGGTGTCACAAGGCATTCTCTCTAAGTGGGCAAACCATTTCACCTTCTGTCTTCGTGTGTAATTTAGAATTGGTTCTGTGCCGACCTTTTCTCTTATGATATCATTCCTGATCTAATCTCTTATGGTCACTCTTACAGCTTTTCTTAGACATCTCATAAGTGTACCCCGAAACATCCTGGCCAACGGGGCTCTAGTGAAGTTGCGACAGGCCTAGCAAGCTGGCAATGGATTTATTATCGCTACAGAAAATACAGTCAGATATATAAGTGCACTGAACACATTCAAATAATTGTTGAAAGAATGTTTAAGCTTTTAGAAATATCATAAAATCATATCAAACCAAACGAAACGTTGAACCAGTCAGCTTCATGATATTACAAACACAACAAGTTCACGTTGTGGCTAGAAATCTTCACCAACACATCACACAAATCAACAGTACCATAATTGTCACGTAAAATCGATCTTTGAAGGAAGGTTTTAGAAATAAATTTACAAGTACTGATCTGTACTCGTTGAAGTAAAAGACAGGAGTAGTCATGGAGAACACATGACATAATATACTGTAAACAGCGGCATTTACTTCCCGCTGTTTTCCTTAAAACTTGTGGTCGATTTATATTGGGGGTATAAAATTCACTGTTGTGAGATAAGGCCTATCTATCCAATTTTAGTTATTTTCTTCTTCTTCTTTTTCTTCTTCTTCTTCTTCTTCTTCTTCTTCTATTTCTTCTTCTTCTTCTTCTTTTTCTTCTTCTTCTTCTTCTTCTTCTTCTTCTTCTTCTTCTTCTTCTTCTTCTTCTTCTTCTTCTTCTTCTTCTTCTTCTTCTTCTTCTTCTTCTTCTTCTTCTTCTTCTTCTTCTTCTTCTTCTTCTTCTTCTTCTTCTTCTTCTTCTTCTTCTTCTTCTTCTTCTTCTTCTTCTTCTTCTTCGTCTTCTTCTTCTTTTTCTTCTTCTTCTTCTTCTTCTTCTTCTTCTTCTTCTTCTTCTTCTTCTTCTTCTTCTTCTTCTTCTTCTTCTTCTTCTTCTTCTTCTTCTTCTTCTTCTTCTTCTTCTTCTTCTTCTTCTTCTTCTTCTTCTTCTTCTTCTTCTTCTTCTTCTTCTTCTTCTTCTTCTTCTTCTTCTTCTTCTTCTTCTTCTTCTTCTTTTTCTTCTTCTTCTTCTTATTCTTCTTCTTCTTCTTCTTTTTCTTCTTCTTTTTCTTCTTCTTAGTCTTGTTCTTCTTCTTCTTCTTCGTCTTCTTCTTCTTAACGTTCAGCAGCTGTAACTGTGGAGAAGTTTTGGTTGTTCGCCCACTTATGGACTCAGTCATGTTCCAGAATTTACATTTTACATATGCATACGATTCACATATGTAGATCATTTGTGTGCAGACTGTTCGTTCATTTCTGACTTATTTTTATAAAATTTATTTTCTACTCACTTCCTTGAGAGCTGCCGTGGTGAAGCGGCTAGACGCTTGTCTGTGGGTCGGAAGGTCCTGGGTTCGGGTCCTGACAGAACAGAACATTTGTGTTTATACCTTGGCTCCCAGGTTTACCCAGCCTTGAATGGAAACCAGATGAAGTCATGATAGTTTATAAGCTACTGGCATAAGAATGACGACACCACTTGACAACTACAAATTGGTATATACAATTTAAATCTAGCCCTATATGCCCAATACACCTGAAGGCGTAAAGAAGAGTCAGTTACTTGACTTTTACTCACTTCCTAAATGCTTAGTCTTAAAAAAAAATCGTGTCTTTTTTATTGACCCCACAGGGCAAGTTGACTGGGTGCAGCATGAACCCAGCCCGCACACTGGGTCCCGCAATCATGGCTGGCACGTGGGACAATCACTGGGTACTTGATTGTTAAATTAATTTAAGCAGTAGAGACTTTTGTTCCGTTACATATTCATTCACTCACACATTCATTCATTCACACATTCATTCACTCACATATTCAATCACAAGCATATTCATTTTGTCAAGTATTCATTCATCAGTTCACGTATAAATTCAATCATATGTTCATTTACTCAAATTTATTCATTTATCCGTTCGTTTTTTTCATTCATGAATTTATTTATTCGCGCACAAATTCATTAATAGATAAGTTTATCATTCCTTCATTTAATATTTTATTTATTCATTCATTAATTCATTAATTCATTCATTCATTCATTCATCCATTAATTCACTCATTCCACTATTCATGTTCTCCATTATTTAGTAAACCAAACATCAACTCATGTGGTCAGTCTTCCCATTTGACACAGTGTGTAGTAAAAGGGGTGGAATGCATTTCTGTCCACTTCCTCGTGTGGGTTCTGGGGTCCCATTTTGGGAGAAACAATAAAAGACCCTCTGCACCGCTTACAAACATGTCCAGTAAACAGTAAGAGTCGGGTAATTAGGGCTATTTCCTTAAGAGTCGGAGGGCGTCTGCCTGAAATGCAATTAACAATATGTTTACAAATAAGACAAATATGTAAAATGGATGTGGACGCAAAACTCAAGTTCTAAAACAAGACTAAAGTCCAAGAAGTGTACGAACAACCATAACTTTCCGCTGGGGTTTACAGCTGGTGAACGCAAAGAAGAAGAAGATTTCTGGCCATTATACAAGAAGATAACTACTGGACGTGAATTTGCCAAGAGAAACCACACAACAGCTAGGGTCTGCTGGGGCTGGTTCTGCAACGTCCTGTAAAGGATACGCAACTAACCTAATACGAGAAGATACTTATGAGATCCACAATCTACAGATCAGAGGTCACATAGTTAACATTAACACAACACCGACAGGACTAGTGGACTCAATATGCTTGAGGCGGTTTCAAGAGGAAACTTTAAAGTATAATATAAATAATAATAACCACGCCATTGTCTTCTAGCCTTCCAATTTTGTTGTTAAAGATGTCAGGAGTGTTAAGCATGTCGCATCATGATACAGACGAACAGTGTTACATTATAATGACAGTTTAAAGATAGCTCCCCGCTTTTAAAATGCACATAAGACGAGGATAAGTGTCCCCGATTTAAAAAAAAAAAAAAAAACAGAATGTTGCTCTTTTTTGGTGGATGCCAAATGTGGGACAGCCATCTTTGAACTGTCAGTATGACGTCACCGCGTTCGTCTGCACCATAATGCCAAGTGTTTAACACTTTAGGCATTGTTAACAACAATATTGAAGGTTTTCTGAACTCGGCATTTCTGTCAGACTTTTAATGTTTTTATCTAAAGCCCCCTCGTATGTATGATCTAAACCTATAATTTGCGTATACGGAAACGGCCTGCTAAGCACTATGTGCCAGCATCGGTTTATCAAAGGTTCAGTTCTCGTGGCATTTAGAGGGTGGTGCGAGATTCACACTGTGGACGAGACTGAAGCATGGCCGCCTGATTATCGCAGAAAGCAGTGGAGTACCGTAAGTGATAACAGATCAAATGGTTCTAACGTGTTTCAAGACTACAACCAGATAGTGGAGCACATAGAGCCCTGTCACTTAGACTCAAAGGAAGCAGAGCTGAAGGTCGACCACGCAAGCGATGGATAGATGGAATATCTGATGCCATAAATAGCAGCATCTACGTAGCACATACCAAAGCTTGCATCCGATGCTTAAAGGCACAATAGAACCAGAGAAGAATAAGAAGAAGCAGAAGGTGGTGGTTATTGTTCTTCTCTAGGGTTGTAGGATTCACATCTCAAGGATGAGAGTCAAACAGAAGCAAATCCATGAAACCCCGCTCAACCGTAAAACAGTTATATTAGGCCACCCTTCAGGATACAAAGTAACTTGCAGCCCAAAGTTAGGATAAGAGCACTGTGGCAGCACTGAAGCCAACCTTAACTGCGGATTCGACACACATGTTATTAATTATGACTATGTCTCTCACAGGTATACTGGGTTGCGCCCTCTGTAGGAGCAGTGGCCGGGGCGTTGCTGTACGAGCATATACTTGCAGAGGCTCCCATTGGAGGTAATATAGTTATAGAGGTAGACCCTTCTAGATCGAGTATAGTTGAGATTACCGACCACTTGAAGTTCAGAGATCACACTATTGTTGTTGAATGCAATGAAGACTTGGACAGTGTCAAGGAAGGGTTCGATAATCTGGCGATGGACATAGACAAAACATACTGAGTTATTGTCCCTGTAAAGATCAAGCACAAAAACTAATAAAAATGTTTAATAGATATAAGTGTTTCCATATCTTATATTATGTAATGTGTGTATATAGTCCTACGTGTTGTGTATGTAACTCGCAAAGTTTAGAAAGAAACGTGTATGTTAACTTCTGATTTAGGAACCAACATCATAGACCTGTCAATCACTCAAGCGCTCTGTCCTTGTTTGCAGCAGCCAGCGGTGTTTTAATTCCGATAGTGCACGTAACAGTCTGACTGTATGTGCGTCTTACCTTTCCCCTGAGTGGATTGGATTGGCTTTTTACCCCACCAGGACATCACACAAGTGATAAACACCCGATGACACAAAGTGCCACCATGCGGATGAGGATCACCGTGGAGAGGTCCCAGAAACCGCGTTCAGACATTTGGCCATAATGATGACCTGCCTATATTGCGGCCCCTGGCAAAAGCCAGAGTGGGGCTTCAAATAACAAAAAACAACATCCTAAGAAGGACGTGTACGACGTTTGTAATTCCCCTGAGTGTTGAATGTCAGCCAGATCTTCGGGCACTCCCGGCTGCACCATTCTCTTTAAATTGCGATGACAACTTTGAAGCTTCACGAATTTTCTGCCATGACAAACCAGTCACCCGATTTATCACGATTCTGATAGATTGGCTGCTGTCTAACCTTTAAAAATCAATCTCCAGTTCCCTCATACTTGTTCTCATTTTTTTATTTTTTATTTGTATATTGTTATTGTGTGGTTTGTCAATCCATACAAGGAAAACTAACTGAACAATACGTACAAACATGTTAACAGTTTTCTCAACATTCTGACATTCTGAATTTTTTTAAATATCAAATCATACTGATATTTTAACGCATCTGACCATCAAAACTAGTAAAATTTCAAAATATCTGAACATTAAAACATATTTAATAATCCAAAGGATCTTGACATTTAAAATTATTTAATATTAAATGGCATTTATATCAGAACATACTGATATTCTAAGAAACCTTGATATCAGAAAATACTGATATTCTACGAAACCTTGAGATCAGAAAATACTGATATTCTAAGAAACCTTGATATCAGAACATACTGGCGTTTTAAAAGACATGAACATCAAAATGTTGCTGGCATCTTTTCGTCTTTCCAGATGATTGAGTTTTATTGAGTTGATATTTTAAAAGACATGAGCAAACAAAGAGATATATCCTGCAGCTAGTACTTCAACACTCTAAACTGTATGCTGCTATCAGAGAAGGAATCTAGATTATTCTAACTTTAATGAAGACAGACCCGTAGGGGGGACCAATTTATTTGCAGACGGCTGGCCACATACATGCTCCCACCCACTGCAAGCGGAAATCAGACAAAGTTGTCCTTCATTGTGCCATTTGCAGACTTGTAAAAAACGCCTGTCCTAGCAAAATTTGAAGTTTGTACATGTTAAGTAGCAATGCATATGGCAGCTGTCAGATGTGCCAACAGTTACGGTCCCATGCAAGAACTGCAGCTAACTGATGGCGCAAACGATAATTCACGAAAACCGACATTGTACCAGAAAAGTGTAGGTTATTCTGAACGTACCCGCCAATTTAGTGCAGTCAACAACACGCCACGGGAAACATTGCACATGAAATCCACGGCTGACAGTGTCGCACCGAGCACTCAACCCAGTAGCTGGGCGACGGAACTTGTGCACTCCCGGTCTAGAAAAGGGGAATTTGTATCAACAAACCAGACTGAAAACAATTAACTTTTTCTGCGTCATTGGTCAGGCGGCTATAATTCAGTTATTACATTAATCGATTTTGTCATATTTAGCTAGACATAATCGGTGAAGTAAAATACTTTTTTCCACGCTTTCATGCGTATTGGGTATAAAGAGCTAGATCTATATTTTATAGACTAAACGGCACTTAGGGGGGGGGGGGGGGGTGATGTGATAATCATCACGCCGGTCGCCTTTACTTTCCGGGACTATAACTGGTACCCACTCAAGGCTGGTACCCACTCACTAACTAAAACTCAAATATTTATCATCATCATCAGTCTGAAAAAAACTCGGTCTATCGCCAGTTCTCCCGCCTCATGCAACTTCATACTTACTCAAGGAGTCACTTATATCGTGTGCGCATCATCGTGTTGGTCGGCCCCTGCCCCTCCTTCCTGGTACCTTGCCTTCTGCTATAATTTTTTTTCCAATCCGTCGAAATATAAGCTGATTTAAACTCGAGATGTTTTATTATAAAAATATATTATTGCTTATATTGTTGTTGTTGTTGTTATCATTATTATTATTATATATCTAGGTCTCCGTAGCGAAGTGGTCAAGCCGTTAGCCTCTCCCTCTGAAAGTCGCGGGTTTGTTTTACAGCCCGCAGTTTAGTTTACGAGTGCTTTTTCTTACGGATATCCCTAGGGATAGTCGCCGGAGCTACGGGTTCATTCCTTAAGCAACGTCTTCGGCGGGCTGCTAGCTGTTTTGCAGAGAGAGACCGAGTCCTTGGGTTAAAGACGTAGTGCAATGAAGTCGATCCTCTAGAGGTTAACCTTCAACCTGTACTACTACTATTCACTACTTACTAGTACTGCAAGAGCTCAAGACACTGTTGGCAAGAAAGGTCATCAGACATGGGAACTACGGAAGGTCTGGTCTTTCTACGATGGGGATCAGTTGATGAGAGCTGAGTTACCTGTGTTTGTGTGTGATGGATGTGCATGTGGTTGTGTGTGTGGTTGGTGTGCGTGGGGGTTTTTGTATGGTGAATGGGTGTGGATGTGTTTGTGAATAGAGTGTGTGTTTGTGTGTGGTGGGTGTAGGAGTGTGTGTGACGTTAGTCTTTATTAACACTCCGGGATGGTGGTCCCTATGAATAACACTTCAAGGGGGAGATTCAAACCAAGGAAAATGAAAAAAAACGCCGTTCAACAGTGTACCACAGTTACAAGGTGTCACTCGTACGGTTGTAATAGTAACATACAGTCCAAAATATGGGTTGGAATTAACGGCTGTTAGTAACATACAGTTCGAAGTAGGGGTTGAAATTAACGGTTGTTAGTAACATACAGTCCAAAGTAGGGGTTGAAATTAACGGTTGTTAGTAACATACAGTTGAAAATAGGGGTGAAATTAACGGTTGTTAGTAACATACAGTCCAAAGTAGGGGTAGAAATTGTGTGTGTGTGTGTGTGTGTGTGTGTGTGTGTGTGCCTGGGTGTCGCCGTGGCGGAGCGGCTAGACGCCCGCGCGGATCGGAAAGTCGTGGGTTTGCTGCCTGGAGCAGCCGGACATTTATTCAAAAATGACCTTGGCTTCAAGGTAGACCTAGCCTTGAGTGGGTACCAGGTGCAGTTCCAGGAAGTAAAGGCGGCCGGTGTAATGCAGACTGCATCACCCATCTTGTCCCGATTAGTCTATAAAATATAGGTCTGGTCCTTTATGCGCTATACGCCTAGAGGCGTGGAAAAGGGTCCGTTACATGTTTTACTTTATGTGTGTGCCTTTTAGAGAGGCAGAGAGAGCGCGCGAGAGACAGAGAGAGAGAGAGAGAGAAAGGGGTGGGAGCAGTGTTGCCACTTTTCTTTGACAAAAAACATCCAAAACTAAGTCCCAAAATATCTTTATTAATAACATCTAAATTTGCGTGGAAAACATCTAAAACAAACATCCAAATGGAAAGAGTCGCAAATTACCAAGCAATTGATAGGACTTATCCTATAGAATCGTGTCCTCATCTTTACTGAAGTCTGCCTTACAAGATCCACAGGATAAACTTAGCTTGGATGATGAAGTTGAAGCTTCAGATCCAAAATGACAATCAGGGAGCTGATAAGTAAAACAGCCTTTTCCTACTCTTGTCAGGTCGAATTTTATTGTCAAGACAGCATTTAAAAGGTCCAATTTTATCCTGTTTCTTAGGTTAGATTTAATAAATTTATTCCAAATAAAAAACATATAGAAAACATCTACCATCTAAACGTCAAAAACGCCATCTAAATGCGAGGGAAAACATCTAAATCTGGATGTAAAACATCCAAAGTGACATTACTGGGCGGAAGGGGAGGTCTATTTGTTTGTTTTCAAACCAGCAATAATGTACTGAAGTTTTTAACTGCCATATTCACACAGGTGTGAAAACATGCGGTTTAATTAATTCTGTTATAATGACACATCAGAGAAGGAGATTTCTCAGTTTTCTCCAGGCATATCGACAAAAATGTTGCAGGTTATGCTCTGTGGCCTTGAAAGGTTCACAAACCAATCCGTGAACACGAACATTCAGGAATAGTTCAGGTTTAAGTGTGCATGCACTACTTAAACTAATAGTCCGAGACACAGTAATTCGTTTACCATCGAAACGTGACTTTGAGATATTATATTTGACGAATAAACCTCAGGTTATTTACGTTTGAAATAGGTGCCTTAATTATGTATGAACATCAAGGATAATGTGGTAGTAATGTTTCATTGATTAATTTAATGAAAGCATTGTTGTTGTTGTTGTTGTTGTTGTTGTTGTTGTTGTTGTTGTTGTTGTTGTTGTTGTTGTTGTTGTTGTTGTTGTTGTTGGCTAAATGAATAGGAAGCTAGTTGAACGAATGATAAAAATGTTTGCTAGGTAAATTAATATATAAAGATAGTCAGACACACATAGAGCAGGACTACACGATGGATGGATGGATGGGGGGATAGATGGATGGATGTTAAGTGGATGGGAAGAAGATAGATATGCAGGTACAAAAACATCAGAAGACACACAGACAGACAGCGATACAGGCCACTGTGAGTACAGAACACAGGTTCGTATTTTCCAGGCCATGCTGTGCCAATCACTTGTGAGTGCAACATGTGCGGCTGCACGACTCTCCAGCCATCTATTCTCCTGCTGGCAATAGTGACGCTTTCAGTCAGGCTTTTTTTCCTTCTTTCTTAAAGTCTTTTTTCTTTTCTTTTCAACAACTTCCATCTTTCTATGCAATGAAGCCCCATCCACCC